AGGCCATCGAGGCCACCAGCATCAACATCACCTGCTCACACCCGGGTATTGCTGCTACCTCTACTCACTGGTACCAGCAGCACCCGCAGCGGTCACCGCAGCTGATAACAACAGGTGCCAGACCAGGAGAGAAAGCAGTGCTGGAGCCACCAGGGACCCTGCTCATCGCCGCAGACCGCCGCTCCAGAACCCTGCGCCTGTCCCAGCCCCCCTGGCGGGCGTGAGCGACACAATGAGAGGAGGTGGTGCTGCCGCCGTGCATGAAGGGTCGGAGCGCTGGGTGTGGGCGGGCAGCGCTCTGCTCTGGGCAGAGCAGCAGTGCCAGGGTTCACCGGGTAATGCCTGAGTGGCGGCGCGTTGCAGCAGGGGCGGTGGGCACCTGGGGTGGCAGCAAATGGGGGACCGAGCCCTCCCCACTTTGCCTGAGTCTCTCCCACTCCTAACTAGTGCTCAGTCCTTCTCTTCATCTACCCACAGCTCCTCCTCACTCTCCCACGTTTCACTGCCTGCCTCCCCCAGACCCAAACGCTGCCTCCATCCACAACTGATTGTTCCCGCAGGGTTGTGGGGAGCAGCTGACAAAGCTTCCAGGCACCTTCCTCCTCAGGGAGAGGAAGAGGAGGAAGCTCTCTGTGCTCCCAGCAGGTCTCATGTCATGTGCTTCAGAGGCAGGGAGGAAGTTCACAGAATCATAGAATGCTTAAGGTTGGAAGGGACCTCTAGAGATCATCTAGTCCAACCTCCCTGCACATGCAGGGTCACTTAGAGTACGTGACACAGGACTGTGTCCAAGCGGGTTTTGAAGATCTCCAAAGAAGGAGACTCCACAACCTCTCTGGGCAGCCTGTTCCAGTGCCCTGTTACCCTTACTGTCAAGATTTTTTTCCTTAAGTTCCTGTGGTACTTTTGATGCTTCAGTTTCTGGCCGTTTCCTCTAGTTCTGTCGGTGACCACCACTGAAAAGAGACCAGCACCATCCTCCTCCCTCCCTCCCTTGAGGTACTTATAGACATCTATTAGATTCCCTCTCAGCCTTCTCTTCTCCAGGCTGAACAGGCCCAGCT